TCCCGCAGAAGCCTGTGTTATGGCCGCATGATCCAGGAAGTATGAAGCCGAAAAACAGCTTTACTTACCGTCTGGACATGTGTCGATGAGTGAAATAAGCACTGCAAGTCGAGCACCCGGTTTCTGAACCCAGCAGAGGGGGTGCTCATCGAGGACCTACCCTAGAAAAGGAACAGAAACACACAGGTCCCGGGAAACACTGCAAGAAACTAGCAGAAGGGTTATACACACCAACCACCAGCTCATTAGATACACACATATATATATATATTTATCTATACATATATTAGACATGGATCGTACTCACCCACCATGGTTCCCGCGTCGGAGCTCTGTCCGAAGAAGCCTCTAGACCGGACTGTCAGTAAGATGGTCCAGCATAGGAGACTAATATGCAGGAAATTTTTAACCTCAGTCAGGTGGAGAGATGGTGGTTACAGGGGAATTAGGAAGGTGAAGATAAGGGCAGATGTAAGACCCCCGAAGGAAATGAGTAGATACTGAGGTATCACTCTGATCCGGACAAAAGCGCTGACGCCCTGTCTGGATCACATCCTTTAGGTCTTTTACTTACCTTCCTTTGACCCGCGATTCTTCCTACCCCTACCCGCGGGCGGGGGAGGAGTGCGAGCCGCGACACTAGCATTCTGGAAATGTCCAGAATGTAGAGGAGAGGGGCACCGATGATCTTTGCAGCTGTGTTCACTGCCCGCTGTAGGATCTTGCGGTCAGCTGCACTGCAGTTCCTGTACCAGACAGTGATGCAGCTGGTCAGCACACTCTCAATGGTGCCCCTGTAGAATGTGGTGAGGATGGGTGGAGGGAGACGCGCTCTTTTGAGTCGGCTCAGGAAATGGAGCCGCTGTTGCACCTTCTTGGAGAGTGATGTGGTGTTGGTGGTCCAGGTGAGGTCTTCTGTTATGTGCACTCCAAGGAATTTAGTGCTGCTGACTCTCTCCACAGTCAAGCTGTCGATGGTCAATGGGGGATGGTCAACAGAGTTTCTCCTGAAGTCCATCACAACCTCCTTTGTCTTACTCACAATGAAGGACAGGTTGTTTGCCCCACACCATTCAACCAGTTGTGCCACTTCCTTTCTGTAGGGTGTTTCATCATTGTTGCTGATGAGACCTACTACAGTTGTGTCATCAGCAAACTTGATGATGTGGATGTGGTTGGAGTTGAACTTGGCAGTGCAGTCGGGGGTCAGCAGCGGGCCGAGCACACAGCCTTGTGGGACACCTGTGCTCAGTGTGGTAGTGCTGGAGGTGTTGCGGCCGACACGGACTGACTGAGGTATTCCGGTTAGAAAGTACACGATCCAATTACAGAGGGAGGTATTTAGGCCCAGCAGATTTAGTTTGTTGATGAGCTGTTGTGGGATTATTCTGTTGAATGCTGAGCTGAAGTCGATGAACACCATTCTAACATAAGAGTCTTTGTTTTCTAAGTGGGTAAGAGCCAGGTGGAGGGTGGAGGGTGGAGGAAATGGCATCCGTGGAGCGGTGTGGACATTATGCAAACTGGAGCAGATCAAGTGTATTGGGGAGATTGGATTTGATATGGTGCATGACTAACCTTTCAAAGCACTTCATCATGATTGGGGTCAGTGGTATGGGATGATAGTCATTCAGGCAAGACACAAGTGACTTCTTTGGTACTGGGGTGATGGTGGTGGACTTGAGATATGTGGGGAAAACTGCTTGGCTTAGTGAGATATTAAAGATGTCTGTTAAGACATCTGTCAGCTGTTCAGCACAGTCTCTCAGCACCCGGCGTGTGGGTAGTTTTTGTGCAGGTTTGTCATTCTACTTTTCAAACCGTGCATAAAACTCATTGAGTGCATCTGGGAGGGATGTGTCGTCATCACAGGCCTGTGGCAGGGGCTTGAAGTCTGTGATGGTCTGAATAGCTTGCCACAGACTCTGTGTGTCCTTGCTGTCAGTGAAGTGATTATTGATTTTTTTGTGCATACAACCGTTTTGCTTTCTTGATGCCACGAGACAGGTTGGCTCTTGCTGTTTTGAGGACTGCTTTGGCTCCCGATCTGAATGCTTCATCTCGGGTCTTTAGCAGCCCACGAACCTCTGCTGTCATCCATGGCTTCTGGTTGGCACGTGTGGTAATGTTCTTGGTGATTGTTACATCATCAATTCACTTTTTGATGTAAGCAGTCACTTTTTCAGTGTACTCGGTAATGTTCTTGGTGATTGTTACATCATCAATTCACTTTTTGATGTAAGCAGTCACTGTTTCAGTGTACTCTTGCAGGTCCGTGT